GTGTGTGTGTGTGTGTGTGTGTGTGTGTGTGTGTGTGTGTGTGTGTGCGTGTGTGCGTGTGTGTGTCGTACACCTCCGCCGTTGCGCACGCACTGCAGATCAACCGATCGCGTATAATGATGATATGATATTATATCATTATATCTTATATGGGTTGAGTATATATGGCATTTTTCCGCGAATAAAATAATATAATATAACACGCGCGCTCTCGGTATGCTCAAAATATTCGTCCGTCGCGGTTTATTTTACATAACTATATATATATATATAGCTTATCCTGCTAGGCGTTGAATTAAGCCCCTGTAGATTTTATCTTTTTTTTAAACTCCATTACATGTCAACTGAACGGATTTTTATAATACAGTCGTTATTGGGTATTTTTGAACAAACGTAAAACACGCAGGTAAAAATTATATCCAATCATATAATAATTCTTTTCTGTAATCAATAGCAGCAATATATATAAATACATTTAAATATAAATGATAGTTTTTCGTGATTCAACTATAACGTCTATAACCCTATGTTCAACATTTTTACGTATCTATACAGTGAAAAGTATAAAAAGTAAGTAATTAAAAGTAACTATAATAAAATATGGACCATGTTGAATCTATTGACAAAAATTTTATGAAAATCAGTCGAACACTGTGAATATTTTTAAGGTTCATCCGTTTAAAGTCTTATATTTTACACAGTAGATGTTAAATTTTTTAATAATAGCTATAATTATTGCACGGCATTGCCTGTAACGAATTAAATTATGCCAGTGGATTTACCCTGTCTTAATTTCCGTTTAATTAATTTTAATTTTAATCAACGAATAGCGAATATAATTTAAATGACCCGCACAATAAACACGACTGTTCAAAAAATAAAATACAAATATTTATTTCCCCGTAAGATGGCATTCGAACAAAAAGTTCTGTTAAAAAATTCAAACATATATCAATCAAAACCCCTTATCTGAAACGCCACTTTTTATACTACAAATCAAATAAGTACATCCATTACATCTAAATCTCTATGTATTAACTGTAAAAGATACAGACATCCGTCTAGATAAAATATTTAGAAAGTATAAAAATAAATATAAATATATATTTATAATTTTGTTGTTTTTAAACATTATAATATATTATGTTCTATAAATTCATAATGTATTTTTACAAGAAAATATGTCCTTTGTTTTATATGTAAAGGTTATAAATTTTATGAATTTCAATAAATAGTCTAATGTATTTTATAGTTACATATATATTATATATGTATATCTTTAAATTATACTTGTTTTTTTAATGATTTTAAGTTAATATATAAAATATTGCCTTTGAAGACTGTTGCATATCACAACCGTCTATGAAGATTAATTGTCAAAAATATTATATACGTGTCATAATAATTTTATTACATATTACACGTTTAATGTTTAACTTTTACAAATTGAATCTAATAATTTTTTTTTTTTATTGAATATTATTACGTTTAAACTCAACAAGTTACAAAAAGTAACTAGACAGTAAAATATGTAGTATGTAAAATGAATGATAACTATAAAATAATTTAACTATGCTAAGTTAGTTTTAAATAATAAATATTTTAATGGAAAAATAAATAAGCATGATCACGATAAATTAAATTTCATTCATACGCGTACATGAAAGAATGTGATATTTCCGTATCTTTTGATAGGCTCATATTTTAATATCTATTTAATGATGTAAAATCATGACAAAATAATATCAATAACCAATGAAACGTGACAGAAGATTCTCACTAATTTTCTTGCTATTATGTACCACAAAGCTGAGAATTTTGCCACGGTAATATTATTTTTCTATTATCATAAATAATATAAACGTTTAAAATTTTTTTTAATGACTATATATTTAATAAATTAAAATCCTAAAACCATGACTTTTTATAATACTACTTAAGTACAACTGCGGTTATAAATGTTAATTTTTACAATTTTTTTATTGCTTTAATTATTTTCCCATACTTATTTCTGAGCTTTGGCCATAAAATATATTGTAATTTAAGTTATACTATATAAAAACGTAATAACGATCAACATTAAAATTGCATACTCAAAACGCCGTTCTATTTAAACAGTTCGTGTGAGTAAACTTATACGCCCACGTTACATAGAACACTCCAAGACCAAAACAATAATCAACGAAGTATTATAACTTCGAGGCAATGATATAAATAACTAATAATTATTTATATAACCTTGATACATTTATTTGTACGTTTACAAAACATGTCCCAAACTTATACAGGAATATAAGTCAATATAAACATTTAAAAAACGAAATTTTAATGAAAAATAAAAAAATCCTCCCATGGAACTGGATTTGCTTTTGTAGAAAATAGCAAAACCTCTATGTTTAAACCTCTTCCTGAAACCAGCATTTTTTCTATCGAAAGCCAAGCCATCCACAAAGCAATTTCACACGCAACGACTTTAGTGTCCGAAGAAATACTCATTATCAGTGATTCTCTTAGCGCACTCCTTGCTCTCGAAACCCCCTACTCCAAAAATGAAATTATACAACACATTTAAGAAAAAATATTGAATTTATATAGGTTCCCTCGCACACTGGTATAATTGGCAACGAACTTACTGATAAAGCAGCCATCGAAACAATAGCATCACCCAGCTCAATAATAATAAACAAAATAACATTTGAAGACGCACTTAAAAAAATCCACAATCTAACTAAAAGTCTTAGACAAGACACGTGGGAGGCGACTCCAAACACAAATAAACTCAAGGAAATCAAATCATCAATCAACCCATGGAAAAACCCCTCACCTTCATCCAGTCACGAAGAAGTAATTATCACAAGGTCTCGGATTGGACACTCCCGTCTAACACACCTGTACTTTATTACCAAAGAAGACTGCCCGACTTGCGAATTCTGTGACAAAGAACTTACGATCAAACATATCACGCTAAAATGACCCAAGTTCAACATCTCCAGACAAATCTTTGGAAATCCGTCATCGATGAAACAAGCACTTGGAGAAGAAAATTCCAAAAATATATACAATTTCTTCACAAACATAAGCCTAGCAAAATTAATGTAATAAAAAAAAAAATAATAATAATAAAATAAAATTGTACGTAATATATTTTACATTCCCCTATTTATGTTTAACATAATGTCTCCCCATAAGATTAATACTTTATAATTATCATAGGCTAATGACCTGAGATGTTGAAGCCTTTAAACCTAATAATAAAAAAAAATAACCTCATGAATTTACTTATTATCAGTAAAGGTAAAAAATATAACAATATAGGTAATAATATTGTCGTCGTATTTTAATAACACTTGGGGAACGAAGGAATCGACACTTTTTTATTAGTAATAATAACACATGGTAATGTATTTCAGAATTTCGTGATAACAATAACAATATTATTAAATAATTTCTCTACAGAGTTTCATGTCAATATTTTTAAAACTCAAACCACTAGTTACTATCATCTGGTTCCTTACACATGTCAATACACTCAAATTTATTTTATGGAAACTCAGTTTATATAACAACTTGTAATTTACGTATACATACACTGAAAAAGATAAATATGAGTTTGTCGATAAAATTATTTTTTTAAAGCAAATTGGTATTCCAGGAACATGATAAAATTCAAAATTTAACTTCACAGCTTACATCCATCACTTTCACTCCCGATTATTAACTTACTATTTTAATTAAATTTACGATAAACTGCATACTATACTCTAAGTCTAAACCCCGATAAAAAATACGTCAATGTACAAAAATGCAATTTAAACTATTCAACATTTGCCTTAACCTATTTTGTCTTAAACTAAAATCAAAAATTAGCTTAATTAATAAAACGCTGTTATAAAAATCCGTAATCAAGTCTGTCCGCTCGTAGATACAAAAATCCTAATATGGGGATTTACAAAACCTTCGAATGTCAGACCACTACAACAAATCTTTCAAGCCTATAAGGCTTATTATACCGGTACTTCGTGGTAGAAACAATAAAATTTTCTAATGCATAATCTATGTATTCACCTATTAATATATGTGAAAGAAATGTCTAATCAATAGTATCATTTAACTGGATCATCTATAGATTATATTATATTATAAAAAGTTAACTATAAATTGAAGTTCGACATCTTTTGGTGCATATTTGAAAGTAATTTATCCAGACAATTCACTAACATATGTTCAAAAATTTAATTTTAAACAAATAATAAAATACAATAAGTTGAGTAATACATGCAAATTATTACAATTATAAAATCAATTATAAATGAAATACTGTATTAATTTTACTCTGGAAAATAAATCATCTACCAAATTAAAAAAAAAAAACTCATCAAAAAAGTTATTGTTAAGATGTTATTACAATCTAGCAAAATCTTTTTATCATTCATACCAACTATAGTTAACTAATCAGTATTAAATTATTAATGACTATATTACTATAGTTAATACTTTGATTATTAAATCATAGATGATATTTCATAGTATAGAAATTTAAAGAACATGAGTAAGTATACACTACCTAATTAAAAAACTGATTCCTCAAACGAATTTTTATTTTCAAACACAGCATTATTAATATGACCATTGATTTTAGAATACACTAAAATATTATATTTTATATTCTAAAATCAATGATAGGACTATTAAATAATTAAAACAAAAAAAAACAATTAACATTTGTTAATTTTAAATGTTTAATGAACGATCATTTTAATG